ATTTCTTGACTTGAAAACTACCAGATCAGGAGATAAAAACTTGCTTTTTCCTTTTAATTGTTACAGCAATGAATAAGAAATTATTTTGATAAGAATGGCGGACAGAATTTTTAAAAAGTGATGGCTGATGAATCAATTGTTCCAAACTGTTTTACATATATTTTAGAACATGTATCATTGTTTTAGTAAGTCAGTGTGGCCTATTCACCAACTTAACCATACTTCTTTACTTTTACACAGTCATGCCATTATACAATTCTTGACAGTAAGATTGTAAGGAGATACACTATAGGATACATAACAACTACACGTCATTTTAATAAGCTGTATTCCAAAGTGAATGATGCCAGGCACAACAAAGATCTATGTTTTAGACTTCAATCATTTACCACTGTTTAACATCGACCTTTTGTATCTTTCAAAATCATATAAATTTTGTGTTGCTTGTTTGAAAAAGAAGTTTTGTAGTATGTTTCAATCTTTTTTCAAAACATCAGATACAAACTTGACAAGTCTAACATTCTTAAGATTAAAATAACCATTTTTTTCCTCAGCCCTATTTTGAGTAACATTTAATCTTACTTGGCTGATGCTATGAATGGATTACATCACAGCGTGTTTCAGCAAGGATAAAGTCTGTCAGGGCTACATGCACTGCAAGGTCCAAATTATAGAATTCTAAAGGAAGTATGCTGCAATAATGTCAAAACATTAACAAACAAGAATCGAAACTTGTTATGGCGTGTATAATGTCCAAAAAAGTGTGCAATATACTCAAGAAAATACGGAAAACATTACGTTGCTCAAGCAACTTGTTTTTGTTCCATATCTGAACTTCAATACACACACTGATGTTTCAGATTGCTTCTGAATTAAAAATTTAGAATTATACAATATATCGTGATACGTAACGTAATACGGCCTAGTGGATTGTAAATATTGTGATACACTTTAAACCTCCAACACCCATCCCTACTAAATAGCTTACTGTCATTGCTGAACCACAGCTAAAATTGCACTCAATCATGAATCTTTGTGTCACTTTTCCTTAGTATTATGCACTTCCATTAACACAGTATTAGATCATGTGAGATACATGGAAGTATTAGATCATGTGAGATACATGGAAGTATTAGATCATGTGAGATACATGGAAGTATTAGATCATGTGAGATACATGGAAGTATTAGATCATGTGAGATACGTGGAAGTATTAGATCATGTGAGATACATGGAAGTATTAGATCATGTGAGATACATGGAAGTATTAGATCATGTGAGATACATGGAAGTATTAGATCATGTGAGATACATGGAAGTATTAGATCATGTAAGATACATGGAAGTATTAGATCATGTGAGATACATGGAAGTATTAGATCATGTGAGATACATGGAAGTATTAGATCATGTGAGATACATGGAAGTATTAGATCATGTTAGATACATGGAAGTATTAGATCATGTTAGATACATGAAAGTATCAGATCATGTGAGATACATGGACGTGTTAGATCATGTGAGATACGTGGAAGTGTTAGATCATGTGAGATACATGGAAGTATTAGATCATGTTAGATACATGGAAGTATTAGATCATGTGAGATACATGGAAGTATTAGATCATGTGAGATACGTGGAAGTGTTAGATCATGTGAGATACATGGAAGTATTAGATCATGTTAGATACATGGAAGTATTAGATCATGTGAGATACATGGAAGTATTAGATCATGTGAGATACGTGGAAGTGTTAGATCATGTGAGATACATGGAAGTATTAGATCATGTTAGATACATGGAAGTATTAGATCATGTGAGATACATAGAAGTATTAGATCATGTGAGATACGTGGAAGTATTAGATCATGTGAGATACGTGGAAGTATTAGATCATGTGAGATAAATGGAAATATCAGATCATGTGAGATACGTGGACGTATTAGACCATGAGAGATACATGGAAGTATTAGATCATGTTAGATACGTGGAAGGAGGACATGGGGGGAAGGTATCTGTCAGAGTATATGTTGCCATCTTAACTATAGTAATGTGAAAGAATTGTAGGTCCTTAACATATTTTGAGTAGTATATCCTCTGCACGTCCAAACCGGGTTCAAACGTTATTTCCTATCATAACGCAATAGGGACTGGTCACGTGACCCCTTTTGGTAACCACACCGTATGTTATTGATATATGGAAAGCTCTTGGCAATGTGTTAATGTACACATAGACCTTGTGCGTATGTTTAAAAAACATGGAGTGGGCAAGCAAAACCGTAATCTTTCAGGTCACTTTGTGTCAGTCAGCCATGTTTTGTTTTCCATTTTCTGTCTATTTTCCAAAATAACCTTGCCATTATCTTCGATAAATATCATAGAATAGTGTCGACCCTTTTGCTTAAAATCCAGTAAGTACTTTTTGGCTTGGGTTTACCATATTTCTTGAAAAGGTTCTTGTTGGTGGCGCTAAATGCTAATCATTATCATGAGAACAGACGCAGCATGAGGTCATGGCAAGGTCCCGGTGACTTGGTGAAAGATGGCGTCTGCTCCTGCAGGTAGCAGTCTGCACATTCATCACAGCGGGGTGGTCATCAACATAGGCTCAATGATGGACACTGGAGGTTCAGAAATTTATGGCATTGAAGACAAACATAGTTTCTCTGGTTTCTGTTTTCTTTGGAAGAAGTGATAATGGCTTTGCAGAGAAATGTGACCCTCATTTCCAAGTAAATGAGCAGCATTTCTCGATACTGTTTCCCTACCTTTGCCTGTGGTTGGTGCTGCTCACTTTTTTCCTTTGTTAGTTGTTGTGTTTTTGAAGTGTTCAACTCGGTGCAGTATTCTTACATACCTCCACGTCCTTGGCCTGTCATACGTGCAGTTGCACTTCTGGCAGATGGGATAAGTACGACCACACATATATCTGCTGCTGAGCTGGATTGACAATTCGTAATTCTTTAAGTGGCATTTTAAGCTGTAATTGACTTATGGATTTCAACCTCTTTATTTTTGCATATCTTCATATTCTTTATTATATCAGTCTGTGCCAAAATGTTTTGGGTCACAGAGTACACATTTGATGTACTTGATATTGACAAAGTGCTTTTACTTTTATGAAAATATGGAATTGCTGGCTGGACTGCATAATAATGTCAGTTTTAGGGTAAGAATTTCTTCATATTTTCATGACGACAACTTGGACTTATACTGAAAATGAGGGTGGTGTCATTTCCATGGGTGGCCCAGTCATCTAAGGCGTCCCTTGGGCATGCCGGAAACCTATGATTGTGGGTTCGAATCCCGGTTTGCCCCGATTATGTTTCTAGGTTTGTCAGCACCATACCCGTGCTCATGTGTTTCACTGAAGTGGTAAACGTCTTAGACCTGCATCACTTGGGGCTTTCCTCCCCCATTAAGCTGACAAGCCGCGATGTAACTGGAATACTGTTTAAAGCGGCATTAAAACCCAACTCACTCACTCATTTCCAGAGCAAAACTCCAAAACCGTTAAATATTTCTTGATTGAACGTGCTACACTGGTAGGTTGTGAAGTAGTGCCTTTTGATGATTTGAGATATCTAAAAATACTGAACAGCATTATCTTTTTCTTCACTGAACTGAAGGTAGCCAATGACAATGAGCCAAAAGTGGGGAATAAGTAGCCAAACTCCATTTCCGAATTGCACCAGACCAGGGGATATGTAATCTCCTGATGAGTTGTTTATATAAAGACAACATTCTGTGACATCAAGTAATCAGAAGAAGGAACATTGCCAAAAACGTGTTGTTTGTTTTGCAGGTATTTTGATGTTTCCTGTATTGGAAAAAGAGATAGTACTCACAGAACCTATAACAGATTTACCTTTGTACTTAGTTAGCATCACCACAATAATGGTGTGGTCAAGAGTCAGGTTGAGAAAAGTGCTAAATGTAAGGTAAGAACATGTAAGCTTTGATTAAAGTCAAGTCTTCAGTGAACAAACACTGTGTCCAACAAGCAGTATTTGTATATTGCCATGCAAATTAGCAAATGACTTGAGACCCAACAATAAAGTGTTGACATGTCTGTTCTCAGTTTAGCTATGGTGCACAGGCAATACATTTGCTGCCAATGTTTGGTTTGATGAACAGGACATTTCAGCTAACGAGACAGGAGCAAATTTGCATAGTTGTCTCTTGGAAATGAGGCCATAATGTCCCTGCAGGTTGGAGTCAGCTGTGGCGAAGAAAGCACATGTCAATATTGTGTCATGAGGAAGAATGACCTTTGAGGTCATCCATTTAGTTTCCGCTTTGAGATCTCTGTAACTGTTAGGTGTAGAAATAAGATTTGCTTTCTTGTGTGTTTAGTTTTATGCACCAGGGACTTATCTTGGATGTTATACTGAGTGACCTTGGCAGTAAAATTGGGAGAATATTGTTATTTTGTTGAATTATTTTATTTTATTAGGTTCTTATTTCAGGGTCATTTTAACACTCTGTTGTAATTGAACGTTCACGGCTCTTTATCTTCACTGTCTATGTCATCAGTAAAATACAAGTCAGCTTGACTCGGACATCTCATTAGTTATAACTAAATAAACTTGAATTGGGATCTTTTTTATGATTCTTCTCAAATTTAACAGACATAATCCTACTTGTCATTACTAAATGTAAAATATTGTCATCAAGTGTGTTGTCAGTTTTATTGTGTAAGGAATTACAGCGTGGTTTACTTATTTAATCTTTTATAAAGTTGGTCAGCATATTACTTCTTTTTAAATAATAGTTTATGTTCATCACAAAAATATGTCAGTTTGGTTATGAAACTATTCTTGGAACTTGTTAATTGCTACCAGATTAATTAATCATCTAAACACTTTAATTTGATAGGCTTGAAATTGCAGTCTACTGTAAGTTCCTTGTGATTGGCTGGAGGTGTGTGAGGGTAGAGGAGTGTGCCAGTCTATTTATAGCTGGGCATCCGATTAATGGAGACCACATGGTGTGTGCGAGAGAGCAGAGAGGCAGCACTGCTGGCTACCTCTGACAGTCAGACAGAGAGGAGCATCTACACATTCCACTGCTACAGCAGCTAGACTGATGCTTGCTGGCTGCAGTCCTCTCCCCCACACACCATACTGACAAACTATTACTGCAGAATAGCCGGAGCTGCCTTACTTTTATACATACACCAGCTCAGTAGTCTTGGGATACACCTCCTCCGCACCCTCTTCTCATTGGCTGACAGTGACGACAGTCCTGACAGGGCAGCCCGACCATCTCATCAGCTGTAGTAGTCAGCTGTGGACTGCCCACCGGGATAGTACTGTGTTTTGCATCCATGTGTTGTACAAGTGACTAGCCCTACCGGCTCGTCCAACACCACCCTGGACAACCTGGGTTATGGTACTGTGAGCTGGCCAGTGCTTGTAGCCTGCTGCTGCAGGACAGTTCGCGCTGTCACCCAGGACAATTTCCACCATTCAGGCGGCGTCCACGGCAGGCAAGTCGTCACAGCAGCGACGGCGACGGCAACAACAACGACGAAAGGACACTGCTAAAAGTCTGGCTGCTGCTACAACCGTCAGTAAAAACATGGCCTGTCTTGTCCAGAATACGTCGAATGTGGGTGAGTGGATCCTTCCGACCAGGCAACTGGCTTGCTACATATCACTTTTCACAACATTCCTAATGGCTTCTGGAGGTGAAGCTGACTTCCTCAGCTCAGCGCATCTTCATCTCGTGCATCTGTCAGTGTCCATGTGCAGAGTTACAACACAACTCAACTTCTTTAATATCTAACTACTAATTTCATACCACTTACAACTTATGTCAACCATTTGATAATGCTGTCATTGATCAGAGTTTTCGGTATCAATATATTACCTACAAAATATATGCAGATGTATGGCATCGATAAAATCACTGAAAGTATTACAGACAGTATCTCTAAGTGAACAATATTTATTTTACTTGTGGAAGAAATGTTTAGATTTTATTTACTATTATATTTTTTTTAACATGCTTATCCTGACTTATGCCCTTGCAAACATGTCGTGAGACACTTTGAACCAGCATATTGATATTTCAATTTTAGCTCTCTTGTAACATTCCAGTATTTCTTACGTTTATCACCAGATGTTTTTTGACCGAGTGAGTAACTATTAGTATCTCAGGTGTCCTACTGAATGTGAAAATCTGTTCAAATTATGAATAATGTCAATGGTATCTAAATACTTGTGATCCATCTTGTTTACAAGTTCATTTGTATTTGCCATGCTTGTCTCAAGCAGAAGTAACATAGAGGAAGTTTAAACTGAGTAAACTTGAGGATAATAAAAATATGCCAGTTTGCAAAGCACTGGGCAACATGACACTCTCCAGCTGTTGCACGAGTTGTCCAAGACGATAGAGTTGCTACTGCTTCAGTAGATAACCTGTAATATGTAGGGGGAGTTACGCAGGTTATCGCCTCCCCCACCCAAGGGAGATGATACTCTGTGCGTACTATTCATTATGCCTCTATCTGCTGTTTATAATGTCATCTTCACATCATAAACACACGAGCATAGGGACGGTTCTCGCTGAGTGATGAATGAGAAAGATGCTCTGCTTCATAAATCAGATATGGGTTCAAATAGTGAAAACATCACTTTTCTCTTGTGGATTTGGAATTATTTCCCTTTGATGTTTGTAGATGTTGGGATATAAGCCCTTTGTATCCAATATAGAAGAAAAGAAAGGAAATGATGTATTTGCTCTTGTACACAATCTTTGCATATGAAAGTGGAGAGTCCAATACAACATGGTTGTCCATCACTATTTTGCCTTGTGCACCCAATGGAATCTTTTTGGGTGGATAAACGAGACTGGTTTTTCTTGGAAATTGATGTTTCATATCTTAAAAATGAAATCAAGGGGTAGACACAAGGAAGTCTATAAACCAGAGTGGTGATGGCATATGAGAACACTAAAGGATAGCTTTACTATGAGGCACACTGGCTTGGTTTAGAACATACCCAGATTGCATCCTTCTTTTCCATAGGGTTTAATTTGTATAGAGATACACAGCTTGTACCGAAGATGTGTTGCTGAAGACATTGACAGTAAATCTAGACACAGGGTATTAGTTGCTTGTTTGTGCTGACGAGCTGAGTCTTTTGAAAAACCCACGTGTAAATTTTGATTATGACTGATTTCATGGATAGTTGCGTTTTGAAGTGAGCATGCATGTTTAATGGTACGGTTGAAATTACTATAATTGTTTTTATGAACTCATGATAAGTGGTATATTTTTATGGAAGGATTGCACAAACTTGGCACCTAGTCAGCGTCTGGAGGGTTACATATGTGTGTTCTGGTTTATCAGGATCTCCAGGGAAAGGAATGGGACTCTGTTTTATCTGTCAGCAATGTCAAGAAAACTCTGACATCACAGATGACCTCCACAGACAGAATGTCATTAAACCATAGCTTAGGATTTAGATTTATCTCTGCTTGGATCTTTTTTTGTAGCTTCCAATTAACAGATTCAGAAGCCATCAATCATGAGGATATGTTTTTGTGGTCACTAATGGCGTCCATATTCCTACACTAGTTTAAACTGGATGTGTCAAGAATAAGGAATGCAGTTTGTGTTGAAAGTGTTGAAGAAACTTGGTTTGAATATTCTGACTCTGGTTCCAGAATAAACCCCAGCTAGCATGCCTTGTGAAAACCCATGCTTTAAAAGTGCCAAGTTCATGTAGATGAGGTCAAGCATTATCACAATGATCAATTTATTTACAGTAAAACAAGCATGACATGACATGAAACGGAGATCATCCATCTTCCCGACTATTTGTTTTTATGCCAGCAAGGATGTCTTCCACATTCATATTCTGGTTCATACTCAAAATGTCAAGGCTCCACTTTCAGGCAGTTTGCAGTTTTGAAAAATGTTATCTCTCTGTAACGGATCAGTTGAAGCAGAAGATGACATATGTAAGCAAAAGCTAGATGAACGTGACACACTCGTAGGGAAGGGATCTGGCCCTGATAGATTTACCAGGGAGAAGGCTCGGAAATGAGATCAACTGGGGACAGGGAGTAGCGCACACGTACAAAAACACATGCACATGCATTACATGCACTGGCAGAAGAATCACTGGTCCCTTGATATAGATGCAAGGTGAAGTCATTTAGTCCAAACAAAGGCAATTTGGTGATGTCTGTCAAAGAATACTTTCAGTGCATCACATTTGACTAACTCTGCAATGTGTTGATAAATCAAGTTTTATTATGATGTGTTAATATATCAAGTTTTACTTTTGCATGTAATCTATATCAGATTTTGCTTTAGGGATGAGATCATATATCACGTTTTACTTTTGCATGGGATACGTCAGATTTTAGTGTCCAGATAATACATCAAGTACTACATTTTGATGAGATGATATGTCAGGTATTACTTTTTGATTAGTTGTGTCAAGTATTGCCATAATAATACAGTTAAAAAAACATTATTTGCTATTTCCTCCATATGTGCCTATTGCCATATTATCTGTTTCTAATGTGTATGTGACTTTTTGTTTACAAAACAGGAAATTTCATTTGGAAGTTTATTTCTGAATGTTTTAGTATTTGTTATAAAAAAATACTTCTTTTTTTCTAACTCCTAAAAGATTAGTTCTCTTTCAAAGAAAAGGACCAATGTTTATTTGAATGAATCATATTTCGAATAACACACAAACAGTGATTACTGCCATGTGTTGATAATGATTGCCTAAGAACAAGCTGTGGTTATATCACGCAGTACCATGTGGAGCATCAGTGAGAGCCTGTCCTCGTGACAGCACTCACCAGCTTGACAGAGAGAGTAAAGACAGCAGGCTCGCATGTCAGTGCTCCTATTACACATCACCCAATCAGCTGAGGATCAGCTGATAACACAGAATGGAACTGTTGATTCCAAAGTCCTGGGCTACACACTTGCTTCAGCTTTATGAATGTGTGATATAATGTGTGGATTATAGACACAATGTGTGTGTGTTTCTCAGGCAGCTGTGCATGTGGGCAGAGAGATAACCTTTGAAACAAAACACACTAATATTAGACTGCAATCATCTATGTTTTGAAATGGATACTGCTTCCATTCAGATTACTGCCGTTCTTTCTCTCCATAACTACAGGAGTTTATCAGGGCTTTAACAGTAGGTTTGTGTGCTGGGTGAGGTTGTGATGACTTGTAGTGGGTAGTAAAGGCAGGATTGGCTCATTTAGCAGGCTTCTAAACACAGCAGTTCAGATTTAATCGAATCTCACTTGCCTCAGTCACATTATATCGTCAGGATCAGTCCAGAAAATCTAATTTGGCAGCTTAGGTTTTGTTGCTGTTCCTTATAAAATAAAAAATAACTATTAAAATGTTGTCATGGGTTGTCAAAGTTTATCTAACCAAGTTTTCTTGAGAGTTATTGTTTATAAAATGGAGTGGAAATAAGGCTTTGTGCAGCTTTTAATAGTCTTGTGACAAAGTGTTTTTTCTTCAGCTGGATGTGGTATTAGGAAGCTTGTATTATCACAATGTATTTCATTGTTTACACTGTTCCAGGAAGTGGCACTACTGAATTTATAACAGAGTTGGGTGTGTAATTGTGTGTTTTCGTGTGTTATCACTATAAATATTGTGAATACTGGTTCAGGATATGCACCTTCAGTTATCGTGATAACAGGCTGGGATGTGTTATTGGGTGGGTCTTTTCGTTATCATTAAGTATGTAGTTGTTAACGCTGTTTATATAGGTTATAGAATATTGTCACTGTTTCTTCTTGGAACGTTTGCGCAATAAAATCTTGTATCTTTTGTACCCTCACTAATTGTCACAGCAGGTTGGGATGTGTTATTGGTGGGTCTTTTAGTTATCTCTGTGTATGTAGTAAACACTGGCCTAGAAAATGTTGCTTCAAATGTCACGATGACTGTCTTGGCTGTGTTACTGGAGGGGGTGTTGACCACTCTCATCACCTGGAGGACATCCACCATCAGCTGCACAGTTTACTACTTACAGCCTCATTAATTAAGATGGTCACTTGATTGGCTCCTGCGGATTATGTTCTCCCGGTGCTTTGATCTCATCTCCTGGTCTAATCTGGGGGCAGGGGCCTCCTGGGGTGGGAAGGGGGGGGAGACAGGATGGGCACTCCTGGTGGGAGGGGTACTCCGACTTGGAGCTCTTGGGGTTGAAAGGTGGGGGGGGGGGAGGTTGATGCAGGATGTATGGTTGAGGTTAAGTGTTCTGTGTTAGTGGAACAGTTTAAGAGTGACCAAAAGAAATGAATACAAATACAGCTGTCCTTGTGAAGCCAGATGGTGGAAGGAGAGTTTAGTGAGTATTAGATGAAGTGTTCTTAGATACGTCGGCAATGGTGGGGAACAGAAGGTGTTTCTTACCAACTCCAGGGAATACTTCAGAAATTTCACTGTTATTTCTGTGATTCAGTCCTCAGTAGGGATGGTTGGAAGTTATTTATTCCCCCCACCCCCACGACATATTATGCAGGGGGATATAATCATCATCTTGTCTGTCACTTCATGCATCCATCCGTCCGTCTGTCCGTCAGTATTTTGTTTCCAGAACATAACTTGAA